GACTAATTCGGGCGATGAGACACCCGAGGTGACCAATCTTACCAATGGCGCTAAGGATGTTAAGTAAGTATACGTATATTTCGCAATTATCCTCGTATCTTTATTGCTAGTTCCTCTCTACTGCCACTATAATGTCACAAGTTTTTCCCAGTTGTTTGTGCTGCATGTTTAGTGCAAGATTTTTCAAGTTCCACTATTTTCACTGGTCATTTTTTTCGCAAAGTTACGGTATCTGCGATCTAACTGATAAAACAGTCTTTGTTTGAAGTGAGCCTAAAATGCAGATCAAATATGTTTGTTTACGGACGTTAATTATTTGTATGTACAGTATTAATTCTAACATGGTTGTATCGGTTGGGTTAGGATTTACTTTTTTGAATCCTATTGCTGGGAGCGCTTGGTCCTCTTCCTTAGCTAGGTAAGATCTGAGATTTCATCTGAACGACTTTTACTTTTTTGGTTCCATTTGAAAAATTGAAAGTTCGCCTGGTGGTAATAAGGATACGTCGGTTTTGAACATCGTAATTTGGTACCTCCGGTGGCAAGCTGAAGTCGTGCACAGTTAGTTATGTTTGTTCCGTCCCACCAACCTATAATTGTGGCCTTATTCAACTGTATTTCCTTCGAAATCCTCAGGAGCGAGCATTCTACCACTCAGGCAGCAAAGATCCTAATGGGCATCAAGGCGCAGTCCGATCTCGCAAGTATGCATTCAAGCCAATCTTCCGAGGACTCGCTGGCCGCCTCCTCGGTTTCAATTTAGGCTTCCCCTAAACAGTTTGAGATGGAGTGGCTTCAAGCTGTACATTGCTTCCATTTTCCTTCCAATCCCTATATTGCCATCTCCCCTTCCTATCTGTCAGTACCCTCGTTCTCAATGAAGGTGGTCTTTCGAGATTATGCGCATTTTGTCGCACGCTGTCTCATTTTCATCAGTGGCGAACCAACATTTTTGTAACCGTAGTTTCTGTTCAGAGCCATCTGTATTTACATGTCAAGGCAATCGCTGCAAGTGGCCAGTTTGCATTAAATAAAATTGTTAACAAGATCCTTTTAACAGTGTCCCTTGATTGGTCTCGCCTATTATAATCCCCACTCCAAGTTGTGTTTTGATCAGCCTAGTGCCTTCGACGGTTAAGTCGGGGGGACGAATTTTCGCAGCTGTGGATTTTGTGTCGACTGAAGAGCATGGAAGTGAGCGCCCGTTTGTGTATGTGATGTAGATACTGATACTGTACCCCAGTTATCACTACCTTGTGCTTTGTTATCATACCTTTCTTATTATGCTATCAGATCACCTCGTATAGGGTGATTGCAAATTTTGATTAATACATGTAACTGCAAACAATGCGTTGGACGATTCTTTTTTTATTTCTACTTCCGAGCTGCATGATGGTAGGTCTCCCCGACGAAGGATTGGCTCACTTAGCTAAAAGGACAGGTTGCGCAGTTTGAAGCGCTTGTTAGAAGATAGACCATTGCTGTAGCGGCGGCACAGTGTTCTTCTCGATTTAACCCACAATAATGAAACTCAGACCTGAGTTGAGTGCACAGCGGAGGCAAAATACATGCTCGTCAATCGCCATTCTCGGTATGGGAAGTTCACCAGTGGTTTCGGATTGGATTCTTTGTCTGGCCGCGGCGGCTCAAGGTAATCGACGAGGTGGACTGTCCACTTGCCGTCTTCAAGGAGAGTAAAGGTGGCATCACGACGGTGCAAAGTCGAAACTGTCAGAGGGGATTATGGTGCAAACGACCAATCGGAGTTTTTGCGGTGTGGTGGGCGGTCTGCAGACC